TTTATTTATTATTTATTTTATTTACATCACTTATATTCCGCCCATATCAGCCCACAGGCGACTCAGGGCGGTCTACATATCGGCACAATTCGATGCCATCAATACAATACAAAAGCAAAAACAATTAAGTGCATTTAGACAAAAAGGACAGTGCAATAACAATTTAAAAAGAGCTATATCCTCTCAATCCAATCCTCATCCGTTTCATCATCTTGGCCGTTCCTGGGTCATTCTCCATCTCAAGCTTGACTATTCTGAATGCCTGCTCGAAGAGCTAGGTTTTCACTCTCTTACGAAAGGTCAGGAGGGAGGGGGCTGATCTAATATCCCTAGGCAGGGAGTTCCACAGCCGAGGGGCCACCACAGAGAAGGCCCTGTCTCTCGTCCCGGCCAAGCGTGCTTGCGAAGCAGACGGGATCGAGAGCAGGGCCTCCTCAGATGATCTTAACTTCCTGGAGGGTTCGTAGGAAGAGATGCGTTCGGATAGGTAGGCTGGGCCAGAACCATTTAGGGCTTTATAGGCTAAAGCCAGCACTTTGAATTGGGCCCGGTAGCAAACTGGCAGCCAGTGGAGCTGGCGCAGCAGAGGAGTTGTGTGCTCCCTGAGCGCCGCTCCTGTTAGCAACCTGGCTGCTGCACGCTGGACCATTTGAAGCTTCCGGGCTGTCTTTAAAGGCAACCCCACATAGAGCGCGTTGCAGTAATCTATGTGAGATGTAACCAGAGCGTGGACTACCATGGCCAAGTCAGACTTCCCAAGGTACGGGCGCAGCTGGCGCACAAGTTTTAGTTGTGCAAATGCTCCCCTGGTCACCGCCGAAACCTGGGGTTCCAGGCTCAGCGATGAATCCAGGATCACACCCAAGCTGCGAACCTGCGTCTTCAGGGGGAGTGTAACCCCATCTAACACAGGCGATTCCATTTTTCAATAGGAAATTTGGAAAATCTTGAAGGATATTTTTTATTTGACAGGTCTGGCCCTAGATGACTTCAGCAAATCAAAGGAGTGTTATGGATTAGAGTCAGTTCAGAATGGCAACTAATTTTCAGCTGGTGCTATGCTGGATGTTTATATAGAATCAACTGGATGCATACTGGATGTCTTATTCAGCTAGCTCTTGGCCAGGCTAACAGTACCAAATTATATCTATATTTATATTGAGAAAACAATAAATCAATTGTTTCTTTTAAAACATTTTTATCATGTGTTTGGGAACAATATGTAAAGCTTTCACTTTTATTTTCAGAAGTATAATAATTGGTAAGAGGTTGGGACTGAACAGCAATTTAATATTCTGACATTTAAATGTCTGCTGACATTATTTCTTCATTGCCCCAGATGTTTGAAATTTAATACTGCTTATTTAGATTTCTATACTCACTCATAGGGAAAAATTGCTGGTGGTATTCAGCAGGCAGCCATGATGGTGGCCAGGCCCGTAGCCAGGATTTTGTTTCGGGGGGGGGGGGGGGGCGGGTTTGTTGGGGGGGGGGCTGAGTCTGAGTGAAAGAGGGTCTATGCTAGCAAACCTTTTGTATCGTTACCCCAATACCCCCATGCATATGGGATATATTGAGTATGGTGATCAGATCATGATATGAATAAACATAACAGTTTAAATAATGCACCAGTAAGGCCTTCTCGCGGACAACCATGAGAATTTCGGGGGGGGGGCTGAAGCCCCTCAAGCCCCCCCCCCCGGCTACATGCCTGATGGTGGCATGATGCAGTGGCCGAGGAAGTGGTAGTTGTATTGAGAACAGCCTTGACCCTGGGCCCATGCAACAACAATCTTCATTAGTACAGCCTTTGCCATCAGCACAACAATGGAGATTGTTGGAGAAAGGAGCAAAGGAAGATATGTAATTACAGAGGTGGAGGGCAAAGGACCCACAATTGTCTGCTGCAATGTATGTGCAATTTTATCTTCATACCAAAAAATCTCTTTAAACTTTGGCTTAAAGCATATATACTCAAGAAATACAACCACCATCAACACTATAATGAATCCAAGGTCGTGATTCATGCAGGTAAATTCATACAAGAGAGTTAATTGATTGCACACAGATATTAAATGGGATGCAGCAATGAAATCCATGGCAATGGCAGATCACATCCCTCTGTCACAGTTGCTAAGATAGACAGGTGGATGGACAGATATACAGAGAAATGGATAGATGAATGAACAGATGGACAAACAGACAGGTGGGAAGATTAAAATGGACAGACAGAAGGACAAATGGTTGAACAGAAGGACAAACAGACAGATGGACAATTGAACAGGTGGACAGACATATTCAGGTATTCTGGTTTTAATGTTGTTGGATCGTTTCTTCCAGTTAAAGTGTTCAGGAGGATGACTGAAACATCTTCCTCGAGGAGTTTATCTGGGGTTAGAGGGGCAGTTTGTGATGATGGGAATTGGCCCACTGTTTAGTATGTGATTTTCAATAAGAGGCCTGTTCTTGTCTCCTCGAACACTCTGTGAAAATTCCAAATTTATAATGCAAATGTGAGCACATAGAGAGTAAAAACAGTTCCAGCCCAAGCTACCTATCTGACCACATTTCAGCCTATGTACCCACCAGGACTTTGAGATCTTCCGGGGAGGCCCTGCTCTCGATCCCGCCAGCTTCACAAGCACGGCTGGCAGGGACGAGAGATAGGGCCTTCTCGGTGGTGGCTCCCCGGCTGTGGAATGCCCTTCCCACGGACATTAGATTAGCACCATCTCTGGTGGTATTCCGCAAAAAAGTAAAGACCTGGTTGTTTGTACAGGCGTTCGAGTAGTTAGTGCAATGATTGGTAATGACATAGGAATGGAACAATGGATGACGGATCTGGATTGTGTTTTTAGTGATGAGACGTTAGTGAATGGTTATTATAGTAATTGTGTACTAACTGTGTATTGGATATGTTGTTAACTGTTTTTTATATTGGTGCATTGAATTTTGCTGTTTCCTATGTGCTGTGAACCGCTGTGAGTCACCTTCGGGCTGAGAACAGCGGTATAGAAGTAAAGTAAATAAATAAAATAAATAAATAAACTGAGGGATTAGAGGACTGGTAAAACCTACCATAAATCTTTTATGGAACTGTCTATTTGGGAGCCAAATCAATGAATGGAGATTTATCTGTCTTATTGGGGTGTTTAACAAAAGACTTGGAGAGTAGAGTACATGATTTTTGTTACCCCCATCTGCTCCAGTTTATGGAGTTTGGTGAAATACAAAATTGCAGTTGACAAGGACTGAATTTAAAATGTTTTGTTTCAGAATGGCGAGGTTCTGTTATCCTTGTTTTACTTCTTTTGTTTTCAATTGAGTGTCATCTAGATAATTGGTCTTCCTAATTACAGGCTGTGTCTTCCCTGTTTCTTCTTCCTGCTCTTTTGGTGTTATTCCAATTGTGGGATTCAGAAACACAGCAGAATTAAAATCAGTGCTTTCAAATTTCTTTTGGATATATTATAGCTTGGAACATATCAAGTTTAGAATATCCAAAGGAAAAAATACCACCAATTGACGGGAGAGAACAAGATCACAAATGTCTCCTCACTACTAATCTTATTCTCTTTTTCCATTTCTTTTCTTTTCTCACACCCACCCCTACTCAACCACCCCCCTCTCTTGTCCCCCCCCTTTCTATATATATATATATATATATATATATATATATATATATATATTCTTTTTTAGCTGCAATTCATTACAGGCCCAGTGCATGACAAAACAATAAATATGTGAGAGGAAGTCACAGGGAGGAGGGAGCAAGCTTGTTTTCTGCTTCCCTGGAGACTAGGACGTGGAACAATGGCTTCAAACTACAAGAAAGGAGATTCCATTAGAACATGAGGAAGAACTTCCTGACTGTGAGAGCTGTTCAGCAGTGGAACTCTCTGCCCTGGAGTGTGGTGGAGGCTCCTTCTTTAGAGGTTTTTAAACAAAGGCTAGATGCTTTGAATGCAATATTCCTGCTTCTTAGCAGGGGGTTGGACTGGATGGCCCATGAGGTCTCTTCCAACTCTATGATTCTATGATTCAAAGGGGAGGTTGGAAACAGGCCGATAGTTGACGAATTGAGTGGGGTCCAGTGATGGTTTTTTCAACAGCAGTTTTATCACAGCTTGTTTTAAGCTCGCTGGAATATTGCCTTCCTGAAGGGAGGCATTAACCACCACCTTTACCCACTCGGCCAATCCCCCTCTGGCCTCCTTTAGAAGCCAGGATGGGCAGAGGTCTAGGATGCATGTGGTCGCTCTCATCCCTCCAAATATCTTGTCCACATCCTTGGGTTTCACCAATTGAAATGAATCCATCAAAATTGGACAAGCAGGTGCTCGTGTTGCATCCTTAGAGGCTGCCGTCAAATTTACTTTCCAAGGCCTCCTTCAAGACCCTGGTTGGTCAAAAGTGACACTTAAGGGGCAGAGAGATGTCAGATTGGGAGGATTTAGTTCAGGTTGCCTTTTGCTCCCAAGCAGCTGTGAGAGCTTGCTGCTGCCTCTCCGCCATCATACCGGAAGTTCCAATGAACCATTGACTGTCTGAACCAAAGTGATGGGCCACTTTCCATTGAAATGATGTTTCCTGTGGGCATGACAGGCAGTCTGGAAATCCAAATGTCATTAGATGTGTTTTCTGCTATATAACCACCTATATTTCTTAAAGTTTAAATTACTAGAGGGAGAGTGGAGCCAGACCCCTCAGGGGTAGAGAAAGGATGAGGCCCATTTCTTCCAGCATCTGTAATCATCATTGCTAAATATTGTGAGAAAACAGTACTGTCTTCTTGCCCCAGAGGTTTTCCTGAGAATTAACAACGCCTCTACTTTTAAGGCAGCATCTGAAAGAGATTTGTCTTGAGTGATTTTTGCAGCACTCCAGTGACCCTAAATACCTTTTTAAACAAGTCACCCTAAAAGGGGAGGGTGGGGGGCTTAGAAGCAAAGGTCGGGAAGTGGGAGTGACTAATGAGAGGGTGAGCTGTACTGAACTGAACTGAGCATCCCCTCCTAGTTGCCTCCAGTCTGAGCAGCATTGTTGCAGCAACAGCAGCAGTAGTAAGAAGCCTCACTCTCTAGCCAAAGACTCCTGACAGCAGCCGGACTTTGGAGAGTCTCTGCTGCTTGCCAAGGAATTTAGAGGCAGCAGCAGCAGCTGCTGAACAAGAGGACATGAATGGGACTCTCTCCCTTGCCCTGCGGAGAGGCTGCCAAAAGTCTTGCAGCTGAGTAGACTGGGGAAGGGAAGACGAACCAGCCACTACTTGCAAGCAAAAGCTGCTGAATTCCCCTGCTGTCCTCTTTCCTCCCTTGAGTCTGTAAAACTACTTTGTAGAAGGGGGGGGGGCTTCATTGTTACTTGGGGAAAGGAAAGATCAAATGCTTTAATTTTCTTCCCTTCCTCCACTTTTCTTTCAAACAGATTGGCTCTTTTGTCATGCATGGTGTGGGGAAGATGCATGTTTGGGGGTTACCTGGGAAGAAGAAAGAAATCATGAATCCCCACATGAGTATTTCCCTCTGGGCAGTGGGATTCTATGCCCTGTCCTTTTTTGTCCTTTTCCCTCTTGGCCATGCACAAGATGCTGATGTTGAAGTAGAGCCTCGCACCATGGGGGAAGAAATCCCAGACGGAGCATCTACCTTGGCTTTTGTGTTTGATGTGACTGGCTCTATGTACGATGATTTAGTTCAGGTCATTGAGGGAGCATCCAAAATTCTGGAGACCTCTCTAAAAAGACCCAAGAGACCGCTTTACAACTTTGCCCTGATTCCGTTTCATGATCCAGGTAAGACAATATTTTCAAGACCTCTTATTGCATGAAAGGATGCATGCAAACACAGGGATATATGCAAAGGTATATCAAAGCATGGCTGAAAAAAATTGATGCTTTTCTTGGGAATTTGAGTGATATTTTTCCTTAAAGTAAAATTGAAGGGACACTCAGTTGTTTATTCTTGCCAAAGACCAAAAAGAATAGGGATGGGATCAGCAAACCCATCAAAGGAGATGCAATTTTTTAAATTTCTCCGAAACCGATGTGATTGTTATCACTCTCATCATGCCAAATGTAGAGCTCATTGACATACTTGGAGCTTCAATTAAAATTTTTTCTTACTTTATTAATGTATTGCACACATCACACTAATGTTCCAAAGGGCACAGAGTGTGGGAATGATTACTATGGTAGGTTTGAATGTAAGACCTCCTGTTTAACTGCTCTTCCATTTTCGTAGAATTTTCTGTTGTAACAAAATTGTGAACTACATGGTATATCTAATTTAGCCTCCATCAATGAGCTGGAGATGCTAACTATACACCAAGCCAGTTAATCTGATATGCATTACCCTCAGAGGTGTGCATGCCATCATGTTCAGTACTAAACATTAGGGCTGGGCGGTTTCGTTTCGTAATTTCGTAATTCATTAAAAATTCGTTATTTTTTGATAACGAAACGATATTGAACCATTCAGGAGCAACTAAAAAACGAAACGATTGTTTCCAATTCGTTTCGTAATTGGTTCGTTATTGATTTGTTATTGATTCGTAAATGTTTCGTTATTATTTCCGCATGTCTGGTGCAAGTTTTAGGGTTGCTGTTTGTTTTCTCAGTGAAAAAATATATAATTATCACACCAACAGTCAACAACAGAGGGAGAGGGAAGCTTCTGAAGTTTTTTTAGCGTATTGCGCGATCGCGGCTGCCATTAACGAATCGATTCATAATCGATTCGTAATTGTTTCGTAATTGTTTTATGATTTCCGAAATTTCTTAAATATCGAACTTTTTTTAAGGAAAATTTCGGAATTCTTTTAAATAATGAAACGCAAAAAATCCCTAAAAACGAATCGAGTTTAGAAACAAATTTTTCCGTGTTTGGACAGCCCTACTAAACATCAATATCCATTGTAATGCAATGCGTTTTTTTTCCTTATCCAGAGATGGAAGCATTTCTCTTCTCAGAAGTTAAAAGTAGCTGACACTGTAGGACAGTTGTTTAAACATCCTGTAAAATCATGACCTTTGACCTTCTTCCCAAACTGGCTTGCTGTTTTGTTGCATTTGCCATTCAAAGTTCCTGGGACACAATACAGATTTTATTGCAGCTTGCTTGAGTGCCCTTTCTTCTCTGCATTTCCCTCCCTGCATTCCTCATTCCCTCTGCTGTTTATATACATTTTCTTCCTGTTTCCTCTCTCACTCCCCAGCATCTGTTTTCTATCCTCTTTTCTAGGACTTTCTCCTTTTCCATTGTCAGATATCTCCGGGTGACCCCACAAGGAAATAGAAACCACGGTGCCCAAGGCTGTGGCATGTAGCAATATCAGGATGGAGATCCATTCAGACTAAACACTGAAATGTCTGTTTAAAAATCTGATCTGCCTGCTGCTTGCTCCACCTGAGACACAACAGAGCTCAAAGATCTGGCAATTGTTCACGCAGAGGGATTGATAAATCCAGTTGTTTCCAGTTCTTACTTTGTTTGATTTGTAAGGAAATCAGACCACGAAATCAAACATCTTGCAAATGTTTTCCAATTTTTGCTGAATTAAAAAGAAAGCATTTGTCCCCCCAGAGAGTGTCCAAAATCAACCCTCATTGTAGGAAATATGCCACAAGTTGGTGGTGGTGGTGGTGGTGGGGGAGGGGGATGAAGAGGGCAATACATTTCATTTCCTCTGATCTTCTGTTGGTCCATGAAAAGCACCAAAATACTTTAAGAGAGAGAAGTACCATTGTAGGGAACAGCACATACCAGTAGAGGGCCAGAAGAATGAAAGACTGAAGTTCTTTTGTGCTGCTTTTGATAACTGGCTATTGTAGTCTGTTTTCATTTTTCTATGTTAATTGGCATTGCTAACCATGGATTTGATCAGCTTCCTTAATTAACTACAACTTTTTAAAAACTTGTGGTGCAATATTTAATAATAGTTACATCTATCTTTACCTTTTTTTGGTGAACGGAAATGATACAATTTATAATGTGATCTGGCCCAAGATATTTTGTTGCCTGAAGGAGAGCAAAAATAGCATTTCCTATCCATCCATGTCATGGTATCTAGTTCCATAAAGTCAGCCAGGTCTTTCTGGCACATGAGGCAGAAAATGCCCCTCTCATCAGTAAAAGCACACATTAAACAACTATTTGATGCTCTTTCATGAAACCTCAGATATGCTGTTTGAGCTAACTGATTCACTCTACCTAATTGCAGGGCCAGCTCTAAATTTAATTTAAAAAATAACAATCATTCATATCTGTTTTCAAAACACACATGCACACAAGTACTCCCACACAATCCCATACGTGACCTTGATATTCAGCTCCTATTGGTTTATAAATGGATTAAGAATTGCTGTTGTGACTTGACTCTACATCTGTTCTACATCAGTGGTTCTTCCAATAGCCTTTTGTTTTATAGACTCATAGAATCATATAATCACAGAGCTGGAAGAGCCTTCGTAGGCCATCCAGTCCAACCCCCCTGCCAAGAAGCAGGAAAATCGCATTCAAAGCACCCCCAGCAGATGGTCATCCAGCCTCTGTTTAAAAGCCTCCAAAGAAGGAGCCTCTGCCACACTCTGGGGCAGAAAGTTCTACTGCTAAACAGCTCTTACAGTTAGGAAGATCTTCCTACTTTTCCAAGCACTGCAATTTTTGAACCAGGATCCAATGGTTCAAAAAATCATTTACAATGAAGAGCTCCCTCTATATGGATGACACCCAGAGGATAGTCTTTCCTGTTCAACATCTTTATTAATGACTTAGATGAAGGGCTAGAAGGCATGATCCTCAAGTTTGCAGACGACACCAAATTGGGAGGGATAGCCAATACTCCAGAGGACAGGAGCAGGATTCAAAACGATCTTGACAGATTAGAGAGATGGGCCAAAACTAACAAAATGAAGTTCAACAGTGACAAATGCAAGATACTCCACTTTGGCAGAAAAAATGAAATGCAAAGATACAGAATGGGTGACGCCTGGCTCGAGAGCAGTACGTGTGAAAAAGATCTTGGAGTCCTTGTGGACAACAAGTTAAACATGAGCCAACAATGTGATGTGGCAGTAAAAAAAGCCAATGGGATTTTGGCCTGCATCAATAGGAGCATAGTGTCTAGATCTAGGGAAGTAATGCTACCCCTCTATTCTGCTTTGGTTAGACCACATCTGGAATATTGTGTCCAATTCGGGGCACCACAATTCAAGAGAGATATTGACAAGCTGGAATGTGTCCAGAGGAGGGCGACTAAAATGATCAAGGGTCTGGAGAACAAGCCCTATGAGGAGCGGCTTAGGGAACTGGGCATGTTTAGCCTGAAGAAGAGAAGGCTGAGAGGAGATATGATAGCCATGTATAAATATGTGAGAGGAAGCCACAGGGAGGAGGGAGCAAGATTGTTTTCTGCTTCCTTGGAGACTAGGTTGCGGAACAATGGCTTCAAACTACAAGAGAGGAGATTCCATCTGAACATTAGGAAGAATTTCCTGACTGTGAGAGCCGTTCAGCAGTGGAACTCTCTGCCCTGGAGTGTGGTGGAGGCTCCTTCTTTGGAAGCTTTTAAGCAGAGGCTGGATGGCCATTTGTCAGGGGTGATTTGAATGCAATATTCCTGCTTCTTGGCAGGGGGTTGGACTGGATGGCCCATGAGGTCTCTTCCAACTCTTTGATTCTATGATTCTATGAAAGACTGGCCAGTCCCAGTGCAGCTAGAGAGAAATCATTATTAGGAGACCCAGCAGTTTCCTCAGAATTGCATTAACCGTTTGGTCACAAGTATCCCAGTTTTATCTGTAAAATGTGAAAAGGGACGCCCTTACACAAGCCTAACCTTTGACTGGAATTATTCCTGTGTCCCTCTGACACATTTTTAATTGTTCTCCCTCTCTCTTCCCACTCCTCCATCCTTCTTTGGTGTCTCTTCTGCCAGAAGAGCACATTTCTCCATCAGTGGATCTCTGCAACCAGCCAGCAGAAACAATTTTTCTCTGTAGAAGTGCATTTCTGCCAGCAGAATAGTCTTCTACCTAATCCCTTAGAACAGGCATGGGCAAACCCAGGCTCGTGAGCCGGATGTGGCCCTTTGGGCTCTTTCACCTGGCCCTCTGTCTCCTTCAGCCTTCTCCTAAGCTTGTGGACATGGTGGCCTGTTGTGTCCCCAGGCTGAGAAGAGGGCTGCTGAGAGCTCTCTGGAGCGCTCTCTGGCAGAGGAAGTGGTTGCTGCATGGTGTCCCCTTCCTTCTTCCCCGTCTTCCTTCTTCACGCCCTGACTCTGCTTCCACCTCTACCTCCTCCTCCTTGGGAACTGGCAGGAGAGGGAAGGAGGAAAAACAAGAAAAAGAAGGCGTGTAATGCTGGCCCTCTGTCCCCACAGCACCATGGCCAGCCAGCAATGGATCTGCAGCGGCTTCACCCTCTTCTTCAGGCAGAAAAGCCACCGCTGCCACCCTCCTCATCCACATCTTGCCTCCCTCCCACAATGGCCAATGGTTCCCTGCTACCGGGGCTGAGTCTCAACTTCACTCAGCCTGGAGAAGGGAGGGAAGCAAGAATCTGGTGAGGAGGATGGTGGTGGCGGCGGAGGCTTCTCCAACCGCAGGAGAGGGCTCATGCTATTCTGGAGGGCAGCACCACTGCAGCTCCATCACTGGCTGGCCACAGGGTTACAGGGGCCAATGTCACTCCCCTTCTTTTTCTTTCCTTTCATCCTTCCTTCTTCTGTCAGCTCCTGAGGAGGAGGGGTGGAGTCAGGAAGAAGAAAAGAAGGAAAACAGGGAGGGAGAGACTG